TCAGCTGTTTAGTCAGGTCACAAGCAGATCAAGGACACCCTTAATGTACTTCCAGACTGAGTCCGCCCATACATAACAGTTAATCTTCATAAGTGGGAATAAACCAAGACACCAAATGGAGCTTGCACTTGAACAAACGTGCCACCCAAATGTTCGCAGCTTACATTCAAGATCATTGTTTCTCTGTATTATCAACATGGCCACTTGATTTCTTATGTCGATCCAATCCCGTCTTGTAAGCATATGTCAACCCACAGGAACAGGCATAGGTGATCCCTCTGTGTTGGGAGTTGATGTGCTCATCTTTCTTCTGTTTGGTTGCGAAGTACTTTCCACATTCCTCACACTGGGCCGTCTTTTTCCTTTCTACAAACTGACTGAACAACATTTGACAGGATCTAGACTCGACATGCTTGACTAGGTTTTCTTTCAACATATACTGCAGGTGACATTTGGAGCAGACGTGAGATTCATCACTCCTGTGAAAGGTCAAATGGGATCTTAAATCCTTGTCCACTTCAAACAATTCTGCACAGTCAGCAAAAATACATGCCAATTTGTTTCCCAGACCAGCAGACAGAGCATTGACGCGTGTTCCAAAGGGCTGAGAAACATTACTGACATTTGGGTAAGAGTTATGTCCCCTGGTCCAACTTTCATCTTGGGATGCCCATGCTTGGAAGAGTTCTGTGCAGAGGAAAATTGTAATCAGTCATCTTCTGGTCACATGATGCTCCTTCAATCATGTCTTTGGAAAAGAATTCAATAACCGCTTCCAAAAAGCTCAAATGCTTCGCATGCAAAAGTGCACAGGTCAAGAAACATGTAATACCCCAAAACCATTTTGACATCAAGCATGTTTTGTCGCCATTCAAATCTTGAAATAAATGACAGCCAACACATACAGGCTTAAGTCAATTGTGTAATGATTGTACTATATGGAAGTCATGACGACAAAGCCATAGAAACTACAGAATCTGAAGGCACCTTGGGGTAGCTAATTCTGATTGACAGTCTGCCTATCCCATCATAATAGTAAGGAATTCACTTGTTCAACAAAGGTTCAAATCGTTTTAACATCACACATAACTTTCAAACACCATGAATCCACTAACCCCACCATGTGAGGAATTCTTCAAACTATTGTTTATCATGTATTAAGTAAAGTGAGCCTGTCATAGAAGCACAGAAACATTGCAATCAGTGTTCCTGCAAGTAGTATCCGCAAGTCAAAGCACCAACAGCACCAGGCATTGCCAGGCACGCATACATTACTGGAATATGTGTATAAAATGTAGAATATAAATCAACAGAATAAAACAAGAACTATTGTGTAGCAGGTCATAGAAAAATATGCAAAACAAGTCTCGTCTTTCACTGTCAAACTTACTTGACAAGCAAAAGTCATTACACTGTCCAATGTTTAAAAGTATTACTCCAAGATGAATAAGCCGAAGATCATTTTCCATAGTTCAGAAATACTTATTCGATATGGATGAAGGCTGGAACAATTCAAGTATTTTTAATGCAATGAACTATGCCAACACAAATTACATGTTGAGGTTCTGTACCAATACAAGATGAAGGGTACATGAATATCATCACAATTATTTTTAGCAGTTACGACATGTTTTCAGATTGAACAAAGAAAAATCAGATTAAAATCAATGTGCTTTTTCCATAAAATTTCTAACACCATTATTCTTAAATGTTCAGTGTATCATAATGTGGTTAGAATATAGGACAAATAATATTTATTCAGTGAACAGTTCCAGCCTCTGAAGCTTTGGGAGGCCACATTATTTTTTCGCAACCAAGGGATGTACCATAGTCAAACAAATAAAACCCAACTATATTGGTATATCAAAGTATTTTTCTGTTGTGATGTGTTTTGGATTATATAGTGTGTTCCTTCCTTGTCAGTTGTCAATCTCATAGTATTTTCCTGTCAACTTCCTATCCAACCTCATAGTCTTTCCCCTGTCAACTTTCAACCGGACAATATTATCCTATCCACACAAGAGACTCTGCAAAGAATATGGTGAGGAAGGTGCAAATATGTCTTCATCTTTGGGATTTATTTGTGTTGAATCTGGTACAGAACTTATTTTGCACTATTTTACTATTGTTTCGACCTGATCTATCGTTGAGCTTGAGGACGTCCTAGCCCAGGCCACAGTTGAATCAGGAAGCTAGTGTGTGGACTTACCTTGTGATGCCAGGAACCACGCCCCCTTCATCGCTGTACTGTGGCTCTGGGTGTGTCAACATGACAAGTGACAAGATGGATCGAGAAATTTTAATCTAAGTTACATAACAGACTTATTTATTTGAGATTATTTGTATTATCTGGATCGATTTTGTCACTTGTAGAACTAAATGTCAAAAAATAATTTGAGCAATGTTGCGACAAATTAACACATCGCTTAAACATGATAAAATTAACATTGCTCAATTGTCCAATCCAGGACAATGGCTTAATATAACCATTACTTTACAAAGAAATATTTGGCTAAACCACCAAGCCATGACAATGTGCATTAGCTATAAAATTGGAATATTTGAATATTACACAATGTCCTAGATTGGACACAGTACATGATAGTAAGTCGCAGATCACAGTTTACTCTGGTTACTTAACATCAATAATGAAATTGATCTGGATAAAAATGCTTTTTGATAAGTCTTTTTTTATACTTTTGGACACAATACAAAGAGTAAACAGTGATGCCTGTTAAAATCAAGAAACATTTGAGCCAGTGCTAAATCATTCATCATTATCCATTGAAATCAACAACAAAGTGTTTAATTGTTTTGTTTAACATCTCAGACAGCAACATTTCAGATGTATGACGTATGTCTGTAAAGAATTGAGTCTGGACCAGACAATCCAGTGATTGATGTTACGACCAACGACCCATTTTGTCAGGTTACGATGACAATCGACCAAGTCAGACCACCAGTACAACCAAGAAAGATCGCTGGGGACCTATTCTGACCCAGAAACCCAACAGAGAAACACCAATAGAATCTTACCCTGTGTAAAGACATTTACACAATTTAACCCCATTAGAATGTCTGGGATTTATTTTAAGTATAACCACACAAAATAATACGCAAATTTGACAAACATTCTGATTGACACCATGAAGCAACTTAGAAACAAAAGCTTTGTCTCATCCAGTGATTTCAACAATGTAGAATATTCGAGCACTGTTCAAATAGGAATTGCTGGTCACTGCCAAGGATATTATATTGCAGATACATGTATATGGATCAATTGTTGATGCAAAGATGGAAATATCCTTTAGTCAACAGGCAGAAGCTTCAGAGCTTTGGATAAGCATTTTTGAGTAATTGAGTTTTTACTCTAGGGTTTCGATCTTAATTGAGTTATTACATTTTCATTGGGTAACTAATATTTGTTCACTCATCTATTCATGACACTATTGTTTTTTTCCTAAAATAAGTGAACATTTGTAATTTACGCAAGTTTTAGAGGATATTCATTTATTTTTATTACCCATCTGTTTCTTGACATTTGTTTTTTTCACTTAAAACCTGTTTCGTAACAATCCCTGCTTACGGCTCCCTCTCCGGGAAGCCATTTTATGTTTACAAAATCTATCATTGTAAATAGGCGCTACTGTTTAAATACCAATCAGCGACTAATTAAGATACATCATTTACACAGACTAGGCATGATGTGCTTTTCAATTGCCATCAATCAGTATGTTTGTTGCAGAAGCTTTTCCAAATATAACTGTCGGTAAGTGAATTTTGGCAATCAGCTGATACACAATAATTTTATCTGACGGTTTTTATAAACGCAATCGTTTTATCTAATAGTTGTAATATATGCAATAATTTTATTTCAATAGCATATTTATAGTTTTTGTTGCGTAGTTGATACTCTAGGATTTGATTTGTCTGCATATTTCTGTTTATTTAATGTATATTCTACACAAATACGCAGCTTATTTTGAGCTCTGAGCGTCACAGATCAAGGAAAAATTTAGTTTCCTTGTTCTGTCTCCCTTTTATCATCCTGTAACCATAGTAAGTGAACAAAATGTTTGAATTCATATTTGAACTTGCTTATCTCCTACTTACATAGTAAGTTCTTGGTTTTACGCTGCTTTTAGCAAATGTTCCAGCAACATGACAACAGGTGGCTGTACCAGGTGGTGAGATCAACCCAGAGCCTTCAGCGTGACAACCCAATGATTGAACCACTAAGCTGGCCCCCCTGCCCCTATGGCGTCATTCCATATATCTTTAGTTGCCTTATACATGGGGTCGCTTTATAGAAGGTGACATATGGTATATCCCTGCCTATACCATGTATATTGGTATTATTTCTACCAGCACACCTATGTACTTCTATTTGATAACTATGATTGAAATGGGGCTTAGGACGTCCCTTTTCTGTTAACGTTTCCTCACATATTTTTTAAAGAGAAATTTTTAGCATGATGTACCTATTGGAAACATATTTTGTGCTATTTCCGGGACATACTTCTACCTGGTACTTTCATTCCCCCAACCCCTAAACATGTTTAAATATGTCAAAATAGAAAAATATTATACTTTTGCCACTCATTTTGCTTATTAATGTATCTAATTTATGGGTTAAGGTGATTTTTTTCACATGGACCAAACTATTTGGTCTGAAGTCAAATTCATAGGTAAATAATCATAAATACTTTGTGTATGATTTTCACTGTTCTTAAGCGTTCTAAACCTTACAATTCCATTGGAGTGAGGGAGTATGGTTTTAATGCCGCTTTTAGCAATATTACAGCTATATCACGAATGGGAACACCAGAAATGGACTTCACACATTGTACCCATGTGGGAAATCAAACCCAGGTTTTCGGTGTGACGATACAACTCCTTCACCACTAGGCTACCCTTCCACCCCCTCCCCCACACCGCAAACAATTCCATTGGAAATGACCAGCAATTCTCCAAAAGGAAGAAACTTTGGAGATAATTACCGTCATTGCTGTAATCTGCTTCGTTATCATCGCCGTCATCGTTTTCATCTTGGAATACTAAAAAGTCATCTGCACTTTGGTCACCATATCTTGCTTGACTAGTACTGGGTTCGGCGAAATCTGGCACATGTGGAACGTTTTGATGGAAGGACGAAGATGAAGAACCGGGTGATTGAGAATGTGATGATTGTGGATGAGAGAGTCGATCAAGAGCTGCTTGGGACGTTTGCGTATGAGGTACATCTGATGAATAATCTATTTGCATGTATGGAGTCTCTTTCTTTGGCACAATGTCGTCAGGTTCTATTTCTATTAAATCTGGATCTTCTGGTTCTAGTTTCACATTCACTGGCGTGTCATTTTGTTGAGATTTTGACTGTATGTTTGGAGACTGACGTGGAGAGATATGAGGTTGTGAGCGACGATGAACAGGAGATCTGGGTCTTGGAGACTCAGAATAAGAAGTCCTAATGCTTTTAGCAGGAGGTTGTGACACTGACACTTCGTGATGCCTTTTGAATTGATTTAACACAGGTGTTGAATGGTGCATTTCGGAGATAGTCATATTGTTGGAATTGTAATTGTCATTTTCTTGAGGCATTAAAGTCCGATCAACATCAAACACTGACAATTTTAATGTTTTGCTTTCACTTTTTGATATAATGCTTGCATCAGACGACACACCGTCGACTTTAAACGTCAATTTGTTTGAGCGCAACACAACCTGCACACTGGCATCTTGAGTAGTGCCGTACGAGTTCACGGATGCCGGGAATTCAAGATTAGATCTTGGACCTCGTTTCAGCGTAGAAAACAGATCACACAAATCCACTGGGATTGTGAATTCTAATGTTTCGATGAACATTGTTGTACTATAAAAACAACTTCCCTGCAGTATTTTAAAACACAGCAACCTTTCGGCAATCACAGATCTCTTTGTAGCGAGCTATATTATGTCGATCTTCAAATCTAGGTCAATCCCCGAAACGAAATCACATCATGGCAGACAGGTGCGCGATCACTTTAGCTTGTAGCATGGCGTTATGTTCACTCCCTTCTCCGAAATAAACTTCATTTGATGCATGCGTGTTTGCGAAGGAAGTCTTCAACTGTTTTAACACAAACTGATCGGGTCGACCGCCTTTCTTCTTAACATTTCATAACGCTTTATCTTCGAACGCGGCAAGTCTTCGAGCACAAAGCGCGCTGTCTTCCGTGATTTCCGGTTTAAGCCAGAAACTACTTTCCTACAAACGATTTAGATATAAATAACCTCCCTGAGGGCGATTCTAAATGGGTGGGTTTGAATTGTTTGGTTCTCAATTATAAAATAAATAATATCGTTTTTTTATAAACTTTGGTCTACATCATACATATATAAAATTCAATTTTTACTGAGTATGTGCGAGGAAACGGTCAATTAATTTAATCAGTCAATAGCAGTGTTACTTCCCGTTTATGTACATTCAGGAAGTTAATCAGTCAGCTAGCCTGTCGTCATTTTCTGTTTATAGGTTGACCACTTACTCGTGACCAACAAGAACTGGCAAGGCTATTTCTACATGCAAAATTGTACAGTTTTTTTTATTTGCTGTATGCTGACGCATGGGGGCTCTATATGGAGTTTGTTATGAAGCCAATTTGTGAGTTTTGTTCCGAGTGATCGTCACTGATATTACAATAAAGGACATATTACTTCTGGATGTGTTAGACGTCCCAATCGTACAACACTGACTACCAAACTCGTACTGCGCTGACAACCAAACTCGCGCAGCGTTGCAACAAATACATGAGACCCGGGAAAATCCGGGATAGAATAGCGACTATGCTTGTCGTAAGAGGCGACTAACGGGACCGAGTGGTCAGGCTCGCTGACTTGGTTGATGCATGTCATCGATCCCAATTGCGTGGATCGATGCTCATGATGTCAATCACTGGATTGTCTGGTCCAGACTCGAATATTTACAGACCGCCCCCAATATATAGCTGGAATATTGCTAAGTGCGGCGTTAAACAACAAACAAACAAATCATGATGTCAATCACTGGATTGTCTGGTCAGACTCGATTATTTACAGACTGCCGTCATATAGCTGGAATATTGCTGAGTGCGGCGTTAAACAACACAAATAAAACAAAACAAATACACGAAGAGGGGATGCTCTCACAAATGAATATGATGTTGAACAATTTCAGGCACCTACATCTTACGCATTGCAATATTGTACATACTAGGGTTGGGACGGGTAACTCGGGTAGGGTGGGTCCTGAGTAGGACCCGGGTACCAATAGGACTACCCGGACCCGTGGTTAGTCACGTGGTATATTGTTTAATTACAAAAACTCACTATAGATCAGTGGTTATACACTACACTACATGTCGCAAATGTTCGCATTTCCTTCTGACGATACACACATTCCTTTTGACTTGCTGCATATGTTTGAGTAAAGATAACGCTTAATTCAACTTCCGTGTACGCATGATCTGATCGTTTGATACATGTATGTATCTTAATAGCTTTGGCCAGGGTTGCGGTAAAACAATTCCAAATCAGCCATTTTGTTCCCAACTCTTGAGACCTGCAGTGCATGGGTACCCGGGTAGGGTCGGGTAATAGGGGGTCGGATTCCAGGGCAGTAAATTTGGACTCGTCCCAGCCCTAACAGACCGGACCATCTACACCATCTAGACCGGATGAGGATGAGGAATCGCAGTGAAGCGCGAGCAGATCAGAGGAGCAAAACTTATCTGGATCATTAGTTGGGTAAACATTTCAGGAAAATTATAACAACTTTTAGTGTCAGACTTTTTTTAGACTTTCACAATATCACAATGGACAACAATTTGAAGAAGTAAAAAGTAAACACAATTAAGTAATATTTGGCATGGGAAAATATGGGACTTGTAGAGCAAGCATCAGCTCAAAGGGGAGACACCTTGAAAGGCTGTGACGATTCTGACGAAAGACAAGCATCTGTCTATGTGGACGTTGACGGTTCTGATGATGAGGTTGTTGTAACAACCAGCTTGGACACTGATGAAAATGAGGGATATACTGATACTGTAAAAAACACACACGTAATTGTCGATGCGAGGCAGCCCCCCCCCCCACACACACACACACACACCCGACACACACACATACACGCACACACGTACCTGTGTACAAAATTGCTGATCAACCCCCTAATCTACTTACAGATATATCTATCAAATTAAGAAAATTAACAGAAATAAAGATATATACATGTAACATGTTTTGTTGTTTTTTTGTTGTTTGTTTTTTTTGGGGTTTTTTAGGGGGGGGGGGGGGGGGGGGCAGAAAAGCCACTGTACTGGCGAATGTTCAGCGCCTCCACTAAGTAGGTTTCATGTACATACGGAGCATATACATGTAGCGTACACCATATCTAACAATAACACATGACTACACACTTTCCGTGGTCGGTTTCAAATATCAAAGCGCTTGTCAAGTTACACGGAAGTGTAACGTAATTAATACATACCGTATTCGACATAATAAGCGCCCAGGACGCTCTCAAAATTAGAAATAGAGGGCTCTTAATAGAATAGTATTTTGGTGAAAAACAACAGTGTTAAAAGATCGTGGTTTATGCTGACAGCCTGAAATGTTTATATACGACAGATGTATTTTTCCAGAATCTAATTTCCCACAATTCCGGATGCATATAACACACGTATTATACACGAATAAATAAGTCTTGTGTATATTGATCAATCGGAAGGGGTGCTAACTGGGATTGTTCACCAGCCAATATATTAGCAAATATCGCCGTGGGCGCTTATTAGAGCGGGGCGCTTATTACGTCGAATACGGTAAGTAAACTCGCTTAGACGGTGATTTCAAATTGTGAACTGACTATGGAATATAACTATTTGTATCCTTCAGGTCTTTCCAAAAAAGATGTTCCCGCGAGGTTGAACGTTATAACATGGAAAATCTTTCGTTTCTTTCGTAACTGTAGGGCATACCAGAGGGTAATGTGTCAGTGAGTGGGTGGATGGTTGAGTGAGTGTGTGAGTAGGGTTTCACGCCGCTTCTAGCAATATAGCACCGCCTCCATGGTTGAAGGGACGTTAAAAGATGGCACTTGTTGTTGCCCTGCTTGTCACTCGACATTAAGGGGCTAAAGCAAGGATTGGTCGGCTCGGAGTCAGTCTACTGTGTCTGTGTCGGGTATTCATGTAAAACTGCGGCATGGTATCTAAGTGGCATTGCACTATAAAACCGGCATTAGTGAGTGACTATAGTACATGCGCACGCACACACACGTGCGGTGCATGTTGCTATATAAGTTCAATAATCGTGAACGCGACGTTAAACCCATTTTCACATCACCCCCAGAAAAAGGGGACCCGGTGACACCAGGAATGAGCTTCACACATTTATACACATGTTGTAAATCGAACCCGGGCATTCGGCGTAACGAGCGAACACTTCAGCCACTGTACTAACCCACATGTACCTCAAATGTACGGAGGGCATCTTCACAATGGTGATCATGAGAACAAGCGGTACAATTAGAAATACATCTTCAGGATTTATCGACATTTAGTGACAATCGAGCCTGGGGCGACAGTGGATTATTTGAAAGAATTACATTTCTAGTGACAAGTGAAGAATTTTTTTAAATTGGAAATCATGATATTGTGGTTGAGCCTTTTAATTTCCTGATTGGTTTGAGGATTCTTGAAAAAGGAAAATGGTAACATGATGTAATTTACAAAGTTAAACTCATTCCTGTGTTTGTTTGTTTAGTGCCGCACTCAGCATTACTCCAGCTATATGAGGGCGGTCTGTAATTAATCGAGTCTGGACCAGACTATCCAGTGATTGACATGAACATCGATCCACGCAGTTGGGATACGATGACATGCATAAACCGAACCAGCGAACCTGGCTACCCGATCCCTTTACTCGCCTCTTACGACAAGCATAGTCGCTTTTTGCGGAAAGCAAGGGTTGCTGAAGACCTATTCTACACTGGATCTTCACATCATTAGTCACTAAATGTTATTTTAAGGGAACCTTTCTCCCCATAAACCTTCTAGATGTATCTGCATTTAGATAACTACAGTCAAGCCTGAGGTCTCAGGCCTCAAGTCAATACAAATGTTTCGTCTCGAAAATATAGCGAATGTCTTGAATTATGCCTTTTTATAATAACTAGTAATTTTACTGACGCTTCAAGCTTTTATATCCATCGCAAAGCCGCACGCGTTGTGTGCCAAGGGAGATAATAAATATGTCGTGTCTCGATAAGCATGGGGAGACAGCCGGTATTTCTGTACCGTCAGTACTGCTGCTACGCGGTCACCCACGAAATAACGAGATCCCATTTTGACAACATACCTCTAAAACTGCTCACAATTTTACTTTGTTCTGTACAACATTAATTAATAAACAAAATTATTCTCCCGCTCGGAAATTTATTTCCTTGCCAGGCGAGATTCATTGTATTAAATGAAGATCACGTGAACCAATCAGATCTCATCATTCTGAGGTATGATAAGATGCGCGATGCTATCCCATGCTATTACATTTATAAATAGTATAAGTTGCAACAGGAACACGAGGGGAACACAGGGTTTCATACGTCCCGCGTTAGGTTTTATACCATGCACCGGAAAAGAATTAAAACAAATTCAAAACTGAGAGAAAACAGCGGTTCGATTGAGCTGAGGTAAACTTGTGCTATGTCGCATTACTTTCGTTTCCTCGGAAAAAGCATGAGGCTTTTTGCTTTGCTTCGAAGCGGGGTTTAAGTGTTTTTTTTTATGCAGCGGGATATAAATATTGTATCAAGATCACGTGGACCAATCAGAACTCATCTTTCTGATTTGGCGGTATGATAATAGAGTTTCAATACCTCACATAATGAGACGTTTTGAATTAATATGTAACTATATATGCATTAATTGTTTGATAGGCATTTCTTAGAAGGTAACGGATGACAAAGTACACACAATTTATGGAGAACAATATAATAATAATAACAACAACAACAACAATAATAATAATAATAATAATCACCATCATAATACTGCTACTACTATTATTGAATTTTCTGTCCCTTCTGACACTAACGTCATTGACAAGAATCAGGAAAAACATGGCAAATATGCTGACCTCGCATTCGAAATGTCACGCTTGCATCCCAAGTACCAAGTTGTCCGACTCCAAATTGTTCTCGGTGCC